TTATGGTGGGCCAATAATAATCGAGCAAATGGAGTTTTCTTAGAGTGGCATATGCTCCTTCATGTGCCCTGCAAAAACCTTCGTGGACTTCCTGGGTGACATAGCTAGCTTTGTCTTCGCTTAAGCATCTTGCCCAAAGGTGTCATTTGGATCTTCGGTATAGTATACCTCGTTCCAAAGAGTAGTTTACTAACTTGTAATGCTTCGCTTCATTCGGGTGATAGCTCGCTTGTTTTTAAATTCTTTATTAAGTGTCATCCAATTTGGTTCAGTCAACGGGGGAATGTTTCTTCACCTTCAATGCTCGGACATGTTTGTCTCTCAATCATAACACTTACTGGCACTGCTTCATTTTTTGCGACGCCTTTGGTGACCATGTCCACTGTATGATTATCGAAGGATCTATCTGATTTTCCAGCTGCCTCCTTCTTTTTCCAACTGACTTAGCAAGTTCTTTGCTAAGGATTGGTATTTTCCAATAGACGACTCTTTTGTCATGAATTTTCCAGTTTTTTGATTTACCAGCTGTGAATTGGAGAAAATTATGATATCCTCTATTCGGACTTCCATAGCTATCTTTAGGCCAGTGATCAGTGCTTCATACTCTGCCATGTTATTGGTACATGGGAAGGCTAGCTGCATGGCATAACTCAGGCGTATTCTGTTCTGTCCTTCTAGGATGATGCCTGCCCCCCGCTTACTAATCCACAGGCTTCGTCTATATGTATCTTCTACTGTGGTGAGTTAGTATTTGATGTACTCGGTACTTTAGGCATGGTCATCTCTTCTATAAAATCAGTTGAGGCTTGTGCTTTGAAGGCCGAGCGGACTATATTTCGAATTCTCCTAACCCGATAGACCACTTGACCATCCTGCCTGAAGTTTCTGCTCGGTGAAGTACTTTTTTCAATGGGAAGTTTATTCTGACCACTATGGTGTGGGTCCAAAAGTAGTGTCTTAACTGTGTAGATGCAGTGAGTATAATAAATACCAGCTTCTCAATTCTAGGATATTTGAGCTCTACACCTCGTAGCACTTTGCTAACATAGTATATTCAAAATTGCTCTCCCCTCTATTCTCTGACTAATACCGAGGTTATGGCAGTGTCTGTGACTGATAGGTATAGATATAGTGATTCGCCTTCCTGCGGTCGACTGAGGAGCGGAGGAGAGCTTAGAAATTCCTTCAACACTTCCAAGGCTATCCGACACTCTTCAGTCCACTGAAATTGTTTCGTATTTTTTCAAGGTTTAGTAAAATGGGATGCACCTTTTGGCTGAGCACAATATGAATCTGCCTAAAGCTGTTATTCTTCCATTTAGCTGTTGCACTTCATTTATACTCCTTGGAGGTGTCATAGCTTTGATCACTACTATTTTCTTTGGATTAGCCTCGATTCCTCTCTGGGATATCATGAACCTTAAGAATTTTCCTGCAGTTACACCAAAACCACATTTGTCCGAGCTAAGTTTCATATTAAACTTAGATAATACCTTGAATGCCTTTTTTAGGTCTTTGGCGTGTTATTCAGCTCGTTTGCTTTTTACTATCATGTTGTCCATGTAAACCTCCATAGTTTTACCGATCTGGTCTTTGAACATTGTGTTGAATAGTCGCTCGTATGTAGCTCCTGTGTTTTTGAGGCCGAAGGGCATCACTTCATAACAGTGTACTCCTCGGTCAGTAATGAAGGCAGTTTTTTTCTTATTCCTGCTGATTCATTTTTATCTGGTGGTAGCCTGTTGCCATAGCCATGAAACTGTATCTTTCATATGCCGCCATTGAATCCACCAGTTGGTCTATGTTCGGGAGAGGATAAGGATTTTTTGGGCATGCTTTATTTAGATTTGTGAAGTCAACAGAGAGGCGCCACTTGCCATTCGGCTTTGGGACAAGGACTCCATTGCTAGCCATTCGGGGTAATGGACTTCTTTGATGAAACCTGCATTAATGAATTTGTCAATTTCTGCTGTGATTACCTTCTGTCTGATAGGTGCGTTCGTGATTTCTCCTCTTTTGTTTGACAAGTTTAGTGTTGTGGTCGATGTTGAGTTTATGATTCACTGTGTCTAGGTCAATCCACTTGATGTCTGATGCTGTCCAAGCAAAGTTCTGCTTATTTCTTCTCAATACATCTTCTATAGAGGCGAGCACCTGGTCTGGGAGGTTGGCCCTCACCTTCAAGGTCTTGCTCTCGCCATCTCCAAGTTCTATATTGATCTCTATGCTCCCTTCTACCGACACTTGTCCTCTTGCTAGCCCTACCAAAGGCGTTCATATTGGTTTGAGCTTGGTGACGTCGAGATTTAAGGCCTTGAACACTTCTAAGGTTATTAGATTCACCGAGCTACCATCATCTACGAGGACTCTTCTGACTTTATTGTTCTCCATTAAACCTTCCACCACTAAGACGTCAGAATGTGGGAAGTGGACATATCTTGCATCTTCTTCAGAGATACTAATAGGCTTGCATAAAGGCTCTGCTGGTATTTCGACTTGATTGAGTAAATTTCTCGAGCATGCCTCTTTCCTGTCGACGTACTATCTCCCCCTGCAACACCACTAAAGATCATGTTAATTGTACCAATGGGTTCAATTCTTACCGATTGTTTTTCTGCCCTCTTTTATTACTTGGCCACTGACTCGGTACGATTCTCTTGGCCTCCTTCCTTCCTGATGAATTTCTTTAGGATTCCCCATTAGATCAGATGTTCTATCTCCTTCTTCAACTGCCAGCATATTAGTGTCGTGGCCAATGTCTTTATGGAATTCACGGTATTTGTTTCTATCCCTTTACCTTGGGGATTCTTCTCTCAACTTCCTTAGATAGTTGAAGTGAATTTCCTCTTGGTTGTCCTTCAGCCATCGAAGGATGTCTGTCCGGATCTTAGATAAGGGGAGTGAAGTTGACCTCTCTTGCTGTTGGAGTGCTTGTGCGTGAGTAGGGAGACTGTAAGGAGTAGCTCGGCCTATTCTGCTCAGTTTGCTTACTCTTATAGGAGAGAATCCCCTATGTTTATTTGATCTTCTTTTGGATTTGTCGTTTCTACTTTGTGCTTGCTTGGCCTTCCAGGCCTCATCAAGCCAAGCAAAGCTATTGGCTCGGGACATCAACTCTACAAAAGAATAGGGCCTGTCAATATTCAGTGAATCAAAGAGTTTGTTATACTCACAGTTTTTAGCCATTGCACTAATGACCACTTCAGTGTTAAAATCCTTTATCTGCATGGCAAGTTTTTGGAGCTTTGCGATGTAATCTCGAAGGGATTCATTGCCCGCCCTCTTTAAGTCTATCAAATCCGATATATCATTCTTGCTTGGTATGCAGGTGATGAATCGGGCTTTGAATGAGGCCGCCAACTAAGCAAAATTGCCTATGGATCCAGTCTTGAGCATTTGGAACCATTCTTGTGTTAGCAGCGCTATGGGGAATGCTTGACATAGTAATGTGTCCACCGTCGTTTGGATGTGCATCACAGTGCAAAAATTCGCCAAATGACTTTGAGGGTCAGTAGTCCCATCATATGTCTTGAAAGTAGGCATCTTGAACTTATGTGGAAAATATATTGACATGACTTTTGGGATTAGTGGTGAATCATTCCTCACCCCTAAGTCAATGTTATCTCCTGCCTCTCGAAGTTTTCAAAATTTGTAGGGTTTTCGCTCGCAATTCTTCTTCATCGTTACGATATATATTTTTGAGTAGGGGAGTAGACTGCACATGGGTTTGTGTTTTGTTCTGGGTGTCTATGTGCCAGGAGGAGTCTTCATCTCCCATCTCATCTCCTAAAGTCTTATTAGCCATGTCGCCTTCATCAATCGCGATATTGATTCGGTGTCCACCTTCCAGGAGGAATTTGCAACACTGGCTTAGCAATTATTCTCTGTAGAACAGCTGCAAAGTCATTATAAGCCTGAGTGAGCCTGACATGGGTTTGTTGTTTTGTGTTTTGTTCTGGGTGTCTATGTGCCAGGAGGAGTCTTCATCTCCCATCTCATCTCCTAAAGTCTTATTAGCCATGTCGCCTTCATCAATCGCGATATTGATTCGGTGTCCACCTTCCAGGAGGAATTTGCAACACTGGCTTAGCAATTATTCTCTGTAGAACAGCTGCAAAGTCATTATAAGCCTGAGTGAGCATAACGACTGCCTATGGGTCAAATGTTGAGACACATGGGGGTGCAGGTATTAACCTTTCAATTGAGCCGCTTGCTCTATTAGCGTCTCTAGCTCCTGGAGCATTTGTCTTTTCCATTGTTTCAAGGGGGTTGTTAGGACATTAGATAGGGTGAGAGAGGCGAGTGAATGTTCTAAAGGTGTAGTGATTTTGCCCGGTCCACGTTGACTACACCAATTTTATAGTCTCAAAAATATGATAATCTTAAAGGAATATTGATACTCTAATTATATTTAATAGTTTGAATAGATAGGGTGAGAGAGGCGAGTGAATGTTCTAAAGGTGTAGTGATTTTGCCCGGTCCACGTTGACTACACCAATTTTATAGTCTCAAAAATATGATAATCTTAAAGGAATATTGATACTCTAATTATATTTAATAGTTTGAATTAACATTAACCTTTTCAGGGAATGGATTTGTCATTATATACAAGTTATTGGTGTCAATTTGGTTATCCAAACAATGGGAGAATGATATCCGTACATTATCTCCTCAAATCAAGCCCACATCATATTTCTGTTATTCACGATTCCTTGAATAGGGGATCCCAATCAGGCAGTGTCTATCACTATTGATTTAAGTATTATTAATAATCAATCAAATTAATCTCTTCCTTTAAATAAAAAAAAAAGGAAACCAAATGCCTCAAATAAGATGAACTGTAAAAATAAAATAATTATTTCATGATATTAACCACTTATAATTTAAATGTATTATTAATAATCATTCCATAAAATAATAAACCGCATCCATACATTTTAATTGAATTTCTAGATATCAAATTAGTTTATTATACTTTCAATTTTATAACAGACAATATATAACTGGTTATCATGTTTATTTCTATTTCATTCCAGGAAGTAAACAAAGGCTTTAATTTTTATAAAAATTTACTTTTTCTCTTAAATGAAAATGAACATTACTTGAAAATCAGCAATCATCTAGTAAGATGTCCTTTTTCTTATCAAAAAACTAAACTGCACAATATGCTTAATTAACATGCTTGGTGCCAAAGATTCTGAAGTGCCTACTTCCCCAAGGATCACTTCTATCAAGGTAATAGGATTTTAGGCAACACTGTATCCATGGTGGACTTCTGGGAGCATCCTCATTTGCAGCCACCCCAAGCAATGTGTTTCGCTTCCCCCTCAATACATCAATGGAGGGATAACCATCAAAAAACTTCTCCTATCATCAATCAAGATCACAGAATGAATTTAACCATGTGGATATAAAAAATCCAGGACACTATATTCTCAACAGTTAAAAAGCAGACAGATCCATAAGTTCTGGAAGAAGTAAAAAGGGAGGTCTAAGAGTACAATAATGTGAGTAAGAGAATGTCTTTCGCTACCTACTTTAATTTGTCAGTATTACTTGATAATAAATGAAAATTTTAGAAAGAACGTGTTCTCACCCCATCTTCACCGAATAAAAAAGCATGAATTCGGGCAGTTGGATCCTCTAAGGTCAGTCTAATCCCATAAGTTTTAAGATGAGCGCAGAAATCCTCGGGTTGCCATGGAAATGCCGCCACTACTCGTACTACACACTTGAATTTAGCTGTTACCTGCAAGTTTGAAAGTTGACGAATACTTAATGATACGAGCTACATGCAGCTGCAGCATATTCCTATTGTATGCTCAACAGTTTTATGCTTTTCGATTTTTATGAGCACAAGCATATTCCTCAACAGTGTCGTAGCCCAAAATTCAACAACAACCCAAGAGCTACCACTGCTTAAGAATTCAAAGAAACTAACAAGAAGCACATCCAAAAGACAACCACCTTTCCAAATAACCATAATTTGGATATATTAGAGTGGTGCTCTCTGATAGTTAGGAGATTTCAAGTTGGATGCTAAAATTTAAATTGCAGTTCATATCTTGATTTACTAATGCTTACAAATGAAAATATCATTAACCTTTTTCTTTTGGAAAGCGTTCCCCTCAATCTGTTCATTGTTAAACAAATTTGGCTCATCTTAATTACTCGGAGAACTTCTATTTGACCTATGATTTCCATTGTGTTAGAATATTGAAATTAGTGCTGAGATCATGTGATGAGACTCTGTGATTATTATGCTGCAAATTAGGTAGTAATTCAGGGATTCATTTCCCATATAGTATCATTCTTTGTACTATTTATACACTAACAAGCTTGAGGGAATTATCAAGCTGAATGCATCAAACTTCTCTCTCTCTCTCTCTCTCTCTCTCAATTTTTCTCTTCTCTTCACAATATGATTCAATATTATGTGAGACGTGTCAGGAAGAAATTCAGAGACACAGGATTCTTGAAGGGTTGGAAAGTTCCCATGGGTTTAAATCCTGTCATACTGCAGTACAAGTCGCTCACAATTCTTATTGTTATAGATGTAAAGCTAAGACTCGTCACACTAATTAGAGATTATCTAAGCATCAAATTGAGGATTTATGGGGATACAAATGAGATGATGAACGAAAGAACTTCAATGCCTTCAATTTGCTAATAAAATTCAAAGCAAACATTAAAGGTTAGTGGTAGACTGTAATGTCTTACCACCAACCAAACGAATTGGACAAGTTAAAGGCTCAAATGTCAGAAGTTCTAAAAACCTCTCGCATAATGCTTATTTGAGAGAGGTCCTAGAATTTCTAAACCTAAGGTAAACAAATTCCACTTTTCACATGGATATGGGTACAACTCTCATCGACTACAGTTCACCAACTCTTCCACTAAGACAAGTCCAATTACTCCACCTCCCAGTTCTCTATCCTCATTGATTTGGTTTTAGTTGCAGAAAAATGGGGATTAAAAAGAGCGAGTGAAAGTGAATAAAAAATAAAAGTGAAGGTAACAAACTAGTGTTGGATGAGTGGTTTAGCATTCCTTTCTCTTAAGTGAGGTTTAGAGTGCGATCCTTATGGATGGAGCAAATATCCACTGAAAGCGCCCTTTAGTAGCCAGACCCCTTAGCACCAACAGAGTGTTTCAGTTTAGTTTAGCAGTACATTAATTTCACTTATTTTTTGGAATTTTTGTAGCAAACCAACTGATGCACTCCTTACTACTCTTTATTATCATTTTTACCCTTATGTTTGGGTTCTAACCCCATTACTCAGTTCCTTTCTTTTTTTCATTCTTTTCATGCTATAAAATAATTGTAAAATGAACAAGTTTTCTAATTCTCCAAATTGGAAAATAATTTTTTGTTCTTAACAAATGAACATATTTTTCAAGTTTTTAACAAAAAACTGAAGATGAAAAACAGATTTTCTTCCACAAATAAACAGGTCCTTGGACTGCGAAGGTAAGTAATAAGACTGAAACTTCAATCCTCAAAGGCTGTAACCAAAACTTTTAACATTGCGCCAGACAATGGTCCACTACACATTGCTTGACAAAGGTAAAGGTAAATACACTTTCGCAAGAGAAAAATGGCCTACTTGATAACCCATGAAGAATAGCAATTCCTTGAACTAAAAAGAGTTTCCATGGGAGTCAAAAAAGAAAAAGAACCGTAATGGTTAGGTAGTCAATATGAAGACTTAGATACATCTCTTAACTTGAAAAACAAGTTTAGAGAGCAACAAACATCATACCTTTGAACAAGCGAGAGCATCCATCAACGAAACAAAAGGAGCATGGTCATAATCAACTTCTGAGGAAAGTACACATACAAATAGATCATAATCATCATAAAGCTTGCAGCTGCAAAGATGAAACTCCCAAAAGAGGGGAATCACACAACCAAGAATAAGAAAAACAATGTAACACACTCAATATGCGAAACCTGTAAGTGTCGAACACCAAGGAAAGCACCAATATGGGATGCGCCCCAATTCCGATGACAAACGTTCATTATAAGACCTAGCTCACATAAATATTCAAAGATAAGCACATTAATCTTCAATTACAAAATTTGGAGCTTGGACATATATATGTCACTGAAAAGAGATCATCTACTCACCTCTGGCACCCTAAAACAAGACAGTTGTCATCGGATATGTAACGTAGCTTTGTTAAGGGCGTCAACACACCACGCCATAATCCTACATGCACCTCACAGAGTATGCTGAGAAATTTCACCCATTTACCAATACTGAGTAAGTGGAGAACATGCTTGTCATTGCCTTTGTCAATAATCACCCGTAAAATTGAACCTGTGGTTGGAAACATACATAATAAATCTCTTGGCAAAGGTACAGGTTCCATTTGCAAGGGCAGTGGACAATCCATTTCATTTTCCATTCTGTGGTTCAAAACAGACAACATTAATAGCTTTCTAATGAGAATATAAGTAGCTCAGAACAGAAGCAAATTCCAAAGTAAAAAAGCATAATATTCTAGATGAAGAGGCAACCTTTAGGAATTAGGCTCACCAGTTGACAGCCATGGAGAGCAGCTAAAGACAATACTTTAGATGATAACTCCTTAAGTTCATATATGCTTCAATCTTGATGATTCAAATTTGTTTCAAGAATCAGTATCACAAAATCACAAAAAATAGCGTTACAATCTTATGTCTTCTGATAGTATCGCTGAGAAGAGAGAAAAAAGGGGAGAGTTGAATCTTTTGGTCATTAATTAAAATCAATCCTAGTTTAACATTTCCATTGATTATAACGACTTCAGTGGTCTCACCAACAACTAACTATTTCGAGAAATTGCATTTTTATGTCCAATTGAACACCTTTTGGATAGTTGGACATATGATTCAACTCGCATTTTTGACAACCATGCCTCCAGCTATGTTGGTGTGCTATAAGAACCATTAAATTTTGCTCATGCCTCATGCATTTAAGTGCCACATCAATTTCTATACGCACATTTCTAACCTTATTAGCATCCTAAGACATTTTCATTTCTCCTTCCCTCAAGGTGTTGAATTTATCAGATGCTCAACCTCGACCTTAAGTTTGCAACTAGAATCTGCACTAACCAATGTGTCATCTATACCCATGTGCTACTGTAAACCAAAATATCGTCAAAAAACACCAGAACAAATTTTCTTAGGTAAGGCTGAAATACCTCATTCATAAGGCTTGAAATGTGGAAGGAGCATTTGAGAGACCAAACGGCATCGCTAGAAATTCAAAGTGGTCGTAATTATTCCGAGAAGCTGTTTTCTCAATATATGGACCATACATCCGAACATTATGGCATCCGGTACGTAATCCAATTTGGTAAAATATTTTGCAACATACAATTCCTTCAGCAGCTCATCAACCACTGGGATAGGGAATTTGCCTTCGATTGTCTTAACATTTGGAACAAGGAGTGCCGGTGAAGAGGAAGGAGATTGGCTTGGTTGGATTATGCCTTGTTGCAAAATGGTGGAATACTGTTGTTCAATTTCAGCTTTTTGAGCATGAGGATAATGGTAAGGGCGCACGACAACAGTTCTAGCACCATATTCCAAAGGAATACCATCCGCTGAATATGCCACTAATTCTTGGTGAGCGTGACTAGTGCCTTGGACATCACCTAATCTTGCTTTTCCTGTATACCCATGTCTGAATCTCTTTTAAACTTGAATGCTGGAATCTGGATTAGCATCAGTTGAGGAACTAATAAGAGAACTCCAAATTTGTGAATATCCATAATCAAACCCCTTTGATAAGCCTTGTGGGCATTGTGTGCCACACATTCTCCTATGGAAAACCTCACTAAGGAGACATGCGCACTATGGGCATCTGAGCAATTTCTTCAACATTCTAACACTTAACAAATCATTGTAGTTGTACACCATAAATACCAAAAAATTTTAATTCGCCTTTCTTCAACATGCAATTACAAAACTATAGAAACATGTCACTATCAAACAATGATAATTGTCACATTGGTGTCAATGCTAAACAAAAACTATCATATGATGATAGTTCATAGAAACTCACTTTGAGTCAATGTTGATTGGTGGGCAATCAGTCCCATCCCAAACAAAGGCCATCCAGACTTGCTTAGAAACCTCACTTACATGAAGGACCTTAACATGATGGAACATTAAAAGATGAAGAAATTATCAATATTCAGAGATAAAAATGGTTTTATAATATAATATTACCATTTTATTGTGAAAGTCAATGAGTTCCAAACTCAACCTCAATGAAAAGGGATATATTAATATGTTTGTCTCACCTTGCAAAGCAAATGAGCTCTTTCTCCTTCTTTCATCTCTCTTAAAAACGTAAAGCTAGTTGGACCTACAACATAAATTTAACATCTCAAATAACAGGTAGTAGAAAGCTATACAATTTTGAAAATTCAATGTTCCATCCTTAAACCAACCATAATCACTACCAAAAAAAAAAAAAAAAAAAGTGTGGGGATGGGTTTTGTGGGGTGTCTCCAGGCGCGCTGTGGCCAAGAGGCAAGAGAATGGACAGCTCTGTCTCCTTCTTCATTCTCTCTATAAAAAAACCAGAAGCTAGTATGGACCTTAAAATAAATAACATCTCGAAAGAACAGGGAGTAGTAGAAGCTATACCAATTTTTTTGAAAAAATTCAATGTCCATCCTTAAACCAACCATAATCACTACCAAAAAAAAAAAAAAAAAATCAGATCACCTACAAAGAAAAATTCTGTGAGGTAAATTCTAAAAATTTTATGGGGTAAACTAATAACTACGCTACAGAATAATGGCATAAAGTTAAAAAAAAAAAAAAAAAATCAAGATCACCTACAGAAAATTCTGTAGGTAAATTCTAAAATTTTATGGGTAACTAATACTACCTACAGAATAATGGCATAATTTTTTTGTCGGTAATATTCAATACTCTCCAAAACATGCTCAGCATTATTTATTTTTAATATTTTAAATTTAAATTACTTGATTAGTAATTTGTTGGAACCAGTAGGTAATATAGCGCAAAATTGCAATTTCTTTTGTTTCTTATTTGTAATTAACATACTAATTGCATTTTAGTAATTATACTAATTAAACTTTAATAACACTATTCTAAATAAGAAAATTAGTAAAAAAGCACAAATAAGAAAAAGAAAAAAAAGATGAAGATGGAGAATAAGAAAAAAGTAGAAAAGATGAGGGGAAAAAAAGGAAAGAGAAGAAAAGAAATGAATTGAAAAAAAGATGATAAGCAGAACCAAAAAGAAGTAGAGAAAGAAAAGAGAGAGAAATGGCAAGGAAAGGAAGAACATATGAGATTGAAGAAGAAAGAAAAAGAACAAGAACAGAGAGAGAAAAATAACTTTTGTAAGTTTGTAAAGATTTCAACAAAAATCACTTCGTAAGCTCATTTCTATGAAAAATAACTTGATGCATGCGTACTTCTAAGAACTTCTCAAATTTCCTAAAATGAATTTAAGCAACAAGAAGCATCATAGCAAACGTGCTTATTGACTGAGAATAAAAGTTTTTGTCAAAAAATAATGGTTTTTTCATTAAAGCATCTCCATTGACCATTTTTTTCTTCAAGTATTAGATGGCCCAAACAATAGAAAATGGGGGAAATTATTCAGAAAAATCTTTTGCACAAAATAGATGCCAGCTAAATTTCAAGCTGTTTTATTCGGAACACCATTCATCCAAAAAATTAAGATCAAATGCATTTCATGCCAATGAAATTAGAAGTGCCTAACTGAACTGCTCTTGACAAACAATAAGAAAAATAAGACAAGAGCCAACGGTCATTAACCTCCAAGTTACAAAATATCATCATACCTTCATCGAGACAGAGATCAGTAAACCATTTTCTCAAGCCTGCTATGAACTTTGAGTCCCGGCCTCTAGGGTGATATTTTAAGGAATGCTGATAAGGAAGAAAGTTTGGAGGGTGATATTTTAAGGAATGCTGATAAGGAAGAAAGTTTGGACCGTCTTTGTCTTTTCCCTCGTACAAAGCAAAAGAAGAGAATGCCTTGTTGAAAACAGCATTTACTTCTCCATGATGGATCTTCATCTGCAAACACACATAGATACTTCACTTTTTGGAATACTTGAAATTCATTAATGCTTTGTCAGCTAAATATTCATACAAAAAATGAATTCCTTCCTCAAGCAAAAGATGTCCTTATGAGTTGAGTTCTAGTAATTGAAATAGTAATTTTGTAAAAAATCAAAAAGAAATTATACATTTACACCAAAATCTAGCCAAAGTCATGCGATAAGCTACAAACACGCTTCATTTGAAAGGCTAAACAAACAGCATTTCAGTCTTGCTGGAAAACTTTTCCAGGAAGAATTCTTTACCGTTCCACACAGATAACAAATTAGAGCACCTAACACAGAAAATCCCCCACATTTTCTGCATTACAAATAACTATGTTGAAAAGTAAAAAACACATTAATACTCTTATTAAATTTCGCCCCCAGAAAAGTATTATTGGAGCCCAAAACTTGTTATTCCAACCAAAAGCAATCAGGCCGAATATCTATATTAAAAATAGAATTGCCTTTGCCCATGAAAAAACAAGCATGAAGGAAACAAAATTTCCAAGGAAATTAGAATTATTACCACAACACGAGAAAGCTGAATTATATCTCCAAGAGAGGAAATACGAGGGAGTTCTTCCATACTTGACGCGAAAACATTAACTGATAAACCAGGTTTTGGATATGATTCATCAATTATTTTCAGTGTACAGCACCAATCTGAAAAATTAATTAAAAAAATTGCTAATAAATTATTTCCAAACAAAATTCAAATGAGACATAAGTCAAAATTTATTGAATAAAAAGAAGAAGGGGAAGAACAAGAAGAAGAAAAACAAAGAACTCTGGCTCAGAACTAACACCTTTAACCAGAAGGTTCATCAATCTACTACCAAAACCAACTAAAGCAAACTTAGTGGTAGCAGCCGTAAGTCCGGCCTTTTTTTGTCATCATAGCCAGTTCAAGTAACCATTTTTTAGCTTGACTAATGAATAAAAGTTGAAAAGAGAGATACCAGTGCCTCTGGTTTTTTTAGGTAAACCGAACTCGAGAATGGCGCCGATGAGGCTGACTTTCTGGTTGATGGAAGCAATTGCATCTCTTATTTGAAGAAACTTGTACTCGTCTCTGTACTCCATTTCTTTCTCCGTCGGCTTAAAACCCTTTGTTTAGGTAGGGCACAAATAACTGTGTCGTTACTAAGCTAAAGCCTCTTTTTCAGTTACTCCGGAAGCAAATGGATCCTCTGTCTTTAGTTTAAATAAAGGTTACATTACCATTCAATCCCTGAAATTTATATTAATCAACGAGTTCATCACTCTCACTAATTAACCTTAGCGATATAAATGTGTGGTGTTTAACATGCGGGTTAGGTTGGGGGATTAACACGTTTATTTAAGAATAAAGATGTAATTTATTAAAGAGAGCATATTGAATTAATGGTGCTGCAAATTTTTAGAATTAATTCGATTATTTTTTTGGTATGCGTTTCAATTAAATAATGATTTAATTAAATAAAAAAATTGAAAAAGTTTTGAAATAGTTAAAGAACTAAAGAATACAATATGTCATTATTGTAGATAGACCACTAGGCTCAGTGAACTGCAACCAACAAGCAGTGCATCGGTTTTAAATTAATATAAAACTAGCTCCTTGCATGAGCTCTGGCAGTTGGCGTAGGTCCTGACTAGCGGTGGTTGCTAGTTTTCGGTTTTAAATATATATATATATATGCGCCAGTTGTGCGCTAGGTCCTCGACTAGCCGGTGGTTGCTAGTTTTTCGGTTCTTAAAATATATATATACTTATATATATATAATTACTACATTATATATACTTACTTTTTAAATCTGTGAATTTTCTGACAGAAAGGGTCATCTTTCTCGACGAAGGGTCATCATTAGTCGAAGGGACGTAGAGCTTAATGGTCTTCTAATCACCATTGTGATCTGTTCTTAAGAGCAAAGGGATGGCTAACCAGCGACGCTGGAGCTTGTTTGCAGGCCTTTCATCTATCGAGACGATAAAGGTTCTTTTAATGAAGCCAAAAAAAATGGATTTTTGAGCAAAATGATGCTTTAATTTTTGGCTGCTCCTCATTATTTTTTTAGTCTCTTTAAATTGGGCCCCTAACCTTTACTCTTGTCTCCAGTTACGGGATCCATAGATGATTTAATCTTTTGATTAGAATTATTACAATAATGTAGATTTAACATTCATAAATCTATAAAAAAAAAAACTAATTCCATAAACACTCTACGTGAAATATATACTTATTTAAATCTGTGAATTTCTGACGAAAGGGTCATCTTTCCGACGAAAGGGTCATCATCCAGTCAAGGGACGAGAAGCTTATGGTCTTCTAATCACATTGTGACTGTTCTAAGAGCAAAGGATGGCTACCAGCGACGCTGGCTGTTGCAGGCCTTTCACTATCGACGACGATAAGGTTTTAATGAAGAAAAAAAATGATTTTGGAGAAAATGATGCATTTACTTTTTGGTCCCTCATTATTTTTTAGTTTTTAATTGGGCCCTAAAACCTTTTACTTTGTTCAGTTAGGTCATGATATTAACTTTGATTAGATATATACAAATCAATGTAATTACATCAAAATCTATAAAAAAAAAAACTAATTCCATAAAACTCTACGTAGAATTCTAGTTGAATCTGTGAAAATCTTAGGAAATCCTTCAATTCCATCAAACTCAACAATTCTTTTAAAATCTTACACAATCCTAATCCAATACACCTCCTAAGTTCTTTCTCTTGCCTAATGCAAGTTTTAGGTTTTAGCCTTCGTTGCTAGGGTTTTTGGCTCCTTTCTCTGTGCGGCGGCAATATGGACAATACCATGGTAGGCCTTGCTTGTATGTACCTAGAGGATGATGCGATACCAGTTCAAAAGGCCCCCATCTTTGGTGATGGCTATCGACTCAGAGTTCTGCATGGTGGGACATGTTCTCACAGATAAGAGTATCAATCTTTCGGCTATGCGAAACACGATGGCCACTCTGTGGCATCCTTGGCGAGGCATATGTATTGAGGATCTAAGTAACTGCAGTTATCTCTTTCAATTTTTCCACGTGCTCGATTTTCGTAGGGTTCACGGGGACCGTGGTCCTTTAACAATAATCTGTTGCTCTTGAACAATTTGGAGAAGGGCATGGATCCTACGATAATAGAGTTCCATCGCGTGGACTTCTGGATTCACGTATATGATTTGCAATTATGGTTATCTTATGAAGTTGTGGTGCGACAACTTGGTGATTTTATTGGGACGTTTCAAGACTATGATACTATTGTGACTACTGGGGTTTGGAGGACACACATGAGACTAAAAACCACCTTTGATGTTCGACTCCCCTTGAAGCATTGAAAGAAGCTTCGACCGCATGATGGTACTGTGGTTCAACTCAACTTTAAATATCAGAAGCTTCCAAATTTTTGCTTCATTTGCGAAAAGCTTGGCCACACAGAATAATTCTGTGACTTAGTTTTTGAGGATCCGGATGGTGTGTTTGAGAAGGCTTGGGGTGCATGGCTTTGTGTAGCTAACAAATAGGGGTCACATACTGGGGACAGATTCCTTAGAGATCGATCAAGTTCTTTTCTTATTCCTTCTCCGTCTTCATCTCAACTGGCAGGTTCTAGTGTGCCCAAGAACATGCAGTCTATTTCTCCTACAGTTTCTAATATGGAAGTGTCTACGACTAAAGGCAGGGACTTAGTATCTGTGGAGGACAATGCTATGATTGTGGATGAGTCCAAGAAAAGGCCAAGAGTGACGCCAACTTCTAATCCTACCTCTATCATTGAAGATTCTGCTATGCCTTCCTTGGTTTAGGTGTTTAATTCTCAAACAATGAAGCCTATTGAGCAGGCACGCCAAGCACAATGATTTACGTCAGTTGTAACTACCGAGGCTTAGGGAACCTCCAGGGAGTTCGAGCTCCTCAGGAGCTTATTAAGAGTAGCAAGCCTGATGTTTTATTTTTGATAGAAACATTAGTTCACAGTAGCATAATAGAGGAGCTACGGGCTTAGTTTCATTTTGATTGTTGTGTTTCAGTTGATAGATTAGGAAGGTCTGGTGGACTTGCTGTTGTTTAGAATAATAAAGATTTAATTCGTGTTGGTGGCTATTCCCAAAACCATATTGATATGTTAATTTCATCTTCTCAAAATCCTTGGAGGCTCACTGGTTTTTATGGCTTTCTAGAAACCAACCGCTGTAAATGATGCTGGAAGTTTCTCACAATATTTTCTAGTGTTATACGCTGCCATAGGCCATTTTTGGTGATTTCAATTATTTGTTCTCTATTAAAGACAAATGGGGTGGTGCTGCTCCTTCTCTGGATCTAATTAATGGGTTTCGCAAGATTGATAATTAGTGTGGGTTATTTGACTTGCCCCTCTTTGGAGCTTCTTACACTTGGTACCGGCATAGGGAAGGGAATATAATTATGAAAGAAAAGCTTAACATGTGCATGGTAACTGAATCTTGGCGAGATATGTTTCCGAATTCTAAATTATCAGCTGTGGTTGCTGCCGTTTTAGATCATTGCCCGATAAGGTTGGATGTTCTTGTGAGTCGTTAGAGCAACTTTAAGAGGAAGTTCAGGTTTGAGAACGCTTGGTTATTATAGGATGATCTAGAATCAAGGTGAGCATAGTTAGTCGAACTCAGCCTCATTATCTTTGTTGCAACGACTCTTAGGTTATAGTGCTTCTCTCCAGGAATGGGCTAAAGGCCTTAATCACTAACTTTTATAAACGTATTAAGGAGTTAAAAAATCTTGTTTTGATTGCTCGCCATGCTAGTGATAATTCAGTTTTGTAGGATCAGCAGCTTTTATCTGAGTTAAACTAGCTACTAACTCAAGAGGAGAGTTACTAGAAACAAAGATCCAAGACATTTACGCTGCAGTATGGGGATCAAAACTCGAGATTCTTTCATGCTCAAGCTTTCTCTAGGGAGAAGAATAACAACATCTCTATCCTTCAAGATGAGGCTGAGCATTGGGTTTCGGACCAAGTTGGGATGAGCACTATTGTTCATAATTACTTCTGGTAACTTTTTTCTGAAGGTTTAGGTATTTATGATGATGTGTTGAATATTATAAAGCCTAGAATTCCTGCTGAGAATAATAATATATTGCTTGCCCCTTTTTCCTCGGATGAATTTAAGACAGTCATTTTCTGAATGCACTTTGACAAATCCCCAGGCCCTGATGGCTTAAATCCCACTTTTTTTCAAAAGTTCTGGTATCTTATTGGTAATGACATAGTGAATCAGTGTTGTCAGTGGATGAATAATAAGGCTTTTCCCGAGTACGCTTAATGATACCACTATTGTCCTTATTTGATTGAGAATTCATCCTGCCTTAAAGATCTAAGACCTATCTCTCTGTGTAATGTGATTTATAAACTGATTTCTAAGGTGCTTGCTAATAGACTTAAATTACTTTTGTCTGATGTTGTTAGTGCTTCGCAATTTGCTTTTGTTCCGGGATGACTTATTACTAATAATGTTTTAATTGCCTTTTAGGTAATTCACCATATAAAGCGAAAAACTAGAGGTCGTAACGGGAGGTTGTCTTGAAAATTGATATTAGCAAGGCTTATGATAGAGTAGACTGGTCTTTTTTTAGATTGCTCATGTTGAAAATGGGTTTTTCTGAAGATTGGGTTCAGCTTACTATGTTATGTGTTACTTTTGTTAGATATACTATTGCTCTTAATGGGATGGATGTGGGGCCTATTATTCCTCATAGGGATCTTCGACAGGGTGATCCTCTGTCCCCATATCTGTTTATCATTTGTGCTGAGGCATTATCTGCCTTGTTTCGGAAAGTTAAGGATTCTAGGCTTATTTATGGTTGCCATATTAATTGGAGAGGGCCTTCCGTTTCTCATTTGTTATTCACTGATGATAGTTTTTTCTTTTTTCGGGCTACTATTTCTAAATATCAGGTTATCAAGCGGATCTTGGAGGTTTATGAGCAAGCGTCTAGGCAAGCCATTAATTTGCAAAAATGATGAATCTTTTTTTGTGCTAATGTTATTTATACTCTGTAGGACGTAGTTTCTTATTTTTTGCAGATTTATAATGCTCTTGATCACGAAAGGTATTGGGGCTCCCCTCTTTGATTGGATGGAACAAGAAGCAGATTTTCTCTTGTCTCACGGAGAGACTTGGGAAGCGTCTTAGTGGGTGGTAGAGTAAGTTTTTATCTAAAGCA